AGTAAGGGGGATAAGGATCGGAGATGAGGTCAGATTAAGAAAGGCCTTGTAGGTCTGTGAAGGGGATATGGGAAACCACTGGAAGGTTTTGAGCAGGAGAAAGACAATAATCTGATTAAGGATTTAATAGGATCACTCTCATGTCAGTGTGGGGATTGGTTGAAAAGGAGCAATGTGCAAAAGCAAAGAAACCAGTTAAGAGTCTGTTATAATCCAAGCAAGGGATGCTGGTAGCAGCCTCAGGGTGTTGGAAATATTCAGAAAGGCATAGAAGGGAGAAGAGTTGGAAGAGTTTTCACTGTATGCCTTTTTGGTGGGTAAGGCATATGAATGCCTTACCCATTCAAAAATAGTAATTTAAAACAATTACAGATGGTTTAAAGATTTAAATTTAATAAGGAAAAATCATAAATTTTAGAAAGTCAAAAAATAGGTATATTTATGACTTCAGAAAAAGAAAAATTTTAAAAATAAGAGGCAAAAAGCAGAAAGCATAGGAAAAATATTGATAAATTCAACTATTTTTAAAATTATAAATGTTATAGATTAAAAATTTTAAAGCCTAAGAATAACAGACATTCTCATAAAATAAAATATAAGTCCTATATGGAGCAAATATATTATAAAATATAACCAAAATAGCACAAATCAACAATAAAAATATAAATAATTCTATATCAAAATAAGCAAATGACATGAAAAGCGCGCATGTTTAGATCCAAGGCCATATTCTCCACCTGTGCACCACACCCCACCGCTCTCACCTACTCAAGGACATCATAACAACAGTTGTCCTCCCTTCCAAGCATTAGTAGCTTTTCCTTCTCTACTAAAATTTTTCCAAAATATACAAACAAACTTTAAATGCCATCTATTCAAAAAACAAAACAAAACTCCCTGGAGCCAATTCCCCCTTCCTGCCATTACCTCATTTTTTTTGCTCCTTAATAAAACAAAATCCTTTATAAAACAATGGTGAATTGTCTGAACTTGTTTTCTCCCATTTCTCTCTCCCCAGTTACTCTTGAAACTCCCTCCATTCAGGTTTTCACTCCTTTTTTCCTCCAAACCTGCTCATGTGAAGCCCCAGTGACTTCCATATTGCTAGTCAACAGTCAATTTCTGGTCCTCAGCTTACATCATTTGACACAGGTGATCACTTCCTCTACCTTAAAGCACTTTCTCCTCTTGCTGTGATAAAAGTGGATTATTGTTTAGCAAATAATCATTCTCCTCACCCTTCCACTGTGGGTTGAATATGCTTTCCTACTCCAATTCCATGTTAGATTTGGCTAGGTGACATACTCTAGCCAATAGATTATTAGCCAACTTGATGCGAGCAGAGGCCTTAAATGTGCTTCAGTGATATGAGCAGAGGCCCCAAAAGCTTGTGAGTTTGGACTGGCTCTTGTACCCCAGCTATCTACCATGAGGAGATCTTTTTCAGGTGGCTGCTTTCTCTTTAGCCGCGGCTCCGGCATGAACACACATGGAACAGATTTAAGCTCAGTCTGCAACCTAAAGCAGAGCCCCTCAGCTGAGCATAGCCTAGGTCAGGTGAACTGCCGCTAAACTGCTGACTTGTGGGCATAATGAGTATATTGCTATAAGCTACTGAGCTTTTGTTATGGCTGATATGTTATGCAGCATTATTGCAGCAATAGCTGACTTGACCCACTTGTCTTCCAGGATACATCACTCTCATGATTTTATTCCAACCTCATTTTTGTTCTCAGATAGTTCTATTTACTTCCTGATCCCTCCTCATTTCCCTTGACCAGTTAACACTGGAGTTCCCCAGGACTCAGTTCTCAAACCCCTAGGTGAGCCTTAGTGCTCTTAGCCATTCTCATCCCATACTTTTAAGCATTATCTGAAAGCTGACTACTCCCAAATTTATATTACCAGCTCCTACAGAGCGGTATAACCAACTGCCTACTTGACATTCCTACAAAAATATCTAAGAGATATCTCAAATTAAATCAGTTCTTCAAACGATTCCCGATTATCCCTCTCCCAACTTTATTACAGTCTCTTTTTTCTAAGGGGAGGAAAAGTCTGAAAAAGTAAACTTTAAAGAATCATACACACAAAATAACTTCTGACTTATTTTAAACCTTTCCCCTGGGTCTTTCACAGGCAAGTTGGTTTCCCATGGAGTGCAGACCACCTAACGATGCACCCACAGTGGACAGTGAGCCATCCTCTCCTGAAGTCCTGAAGAGGTGAACAACAGCAACTGCTGCTCAGGCTTAAACAAACATCCTTGACCTGAGTGGTTAAGCAGCAAGGTTGGCTTTCAAGGTGGCCCAGAAGGCCAGATTCTTCCTCAGCAGATAAACTCTGGAATTCACTTCAAATCCACGCAGGAAGTTGGTTGGTATCACCCTGCAGCCTCAGGAGCAGGCCCCCAGAGCACACATAGGCAGAGAGGCGTGTTGCCACTTCAATAGAAATTTCATCTCCCTTAACGCTGTATGCTTCCCCATTCTTTACATACTCAAACTGGTTAGCCCTGGAAGATCTATCATCTGCGGGGTTGTATTCACCATCATCCAGGGTACCCTCTTGACACAAGGTATGGCTATGACCATCCAGAACTTGTCTCTCAAGTCTACAGGGCAACTCTGAATGTCTACATCTAATATAAGGTCCATCCTGAAAGATTCACTCTCACAAATCAGTCAAGACACTCAGTCAAACTTCTTGCCCTCCGGGTCAATGTCTTCCTCATCAAAAATATCTTCAGACAGGATGCCTGCCATGGTGAAAGTGTCTTGAGAGTAGCACGGGCTTAATGCACGACCACGTCTAGGGATACGCATTCCCCGTCGAGTGGACGAAAGCTCTCATGGTCTTTCTCTTCTTAGTACACAGCAACTCTCCTTCCAGTTGCTCAAGGCAAACACCTTGAAGTCATTCTTGACTTCTTTTTCCCTTTTTCGCACCCTATATCAGATCCTTGGGAAACCGTGTTCATATTAGCTTCAGAATATATTTTAAAAACCTGATTACCTTTATAATTACTAGCCTGGCCAAGCCACTTTTATCTCTTATCTAGATTTTGCAAGATCCTCCTAATCATCTCTGCTTCTGACTTTTCACCTCCCATCCCTTCCCCAGCATATTCTCAGAAAAGCTCCCCGGGTGCTCCTTTTTAAAATTTCAGTCAGATGATGTCATTTCTCAAAATGCTTCCCTTACCTCTCTGACCATACTTATTACTACTGTCCTTAATCACTCCAATTCAACCACTCTGGCTTCCTTGCTGTACTATGAACATGCAGATCCCAGGCATACCCCAGGGCCTTTAGCCTTGCTGTCCCACGGACTGCAATGCTGTTAACTGGATGGACACACAGGCTTGCTAACTCTCCTCTTTAAAACTTTGGCTCAGTGCCTCCTTCCATTGAGGTCTTCCCTGAACACTTTAACACTGCAGCTCCCCACCTTGAGAGTCCCTCTCTCCATCCCTTCTTCATTATTTTTTGTAGCACTTAACCACAACACAAACACTGCATACTGTTTACTCATCTGTGGACTGTCATCCCCAATAGGATGAATGTGCAGTCCACAAGAACAGGATGTTTTTGGCTTTTTTATTGTCTGTTGAATCATCAGGACTTGGAACACAGTAGTATTCAATAAATGTTTGTAAAATGAATGAATCCATTTGACCTGCATATTTGAAATTTCATAAATATATATAGATTGGTAGGTAGTGACAGACTCAAAGGAAAAATATCATTAAGCAATTGTCTCAAATTCCCAAAGGATTTCCCAAATCTACTAAACAAACTTTTTATGATGAAAGCAAAGTTTATCTAAAAGGAAGGAGAAATCCTTGACTTCAAAGATTCTCTTAAATTTCTTTCCTGTTTTTTAGCTTTCCTTTTAATGGCTACTCTGTGTGTTCTCAAAGTTTTACACAAGACAGTTAAAACTTCTTGTTCAATGCAGTAGGATTGGGCAGTGGAAGGCAAACCCTGTGAGGAAAATATGCTCTGGCCCTGAGTGTCCTCCCTACCCACCTTCTCTGGTAATTTTGACCCTTTTGTTGTGATTCCATGTTTAAAGCTCATAGCACAAACCCACAGGCCACAGGTCACGCTTGTGAGGTGGTTGGATCAGGACCGCAACCTCTCAGGCTATTTTTCAGGTTTCTGGAAGATAACTCAGTTCCAGTTCTTGGTTTTGCTATTAAAGTCGGTAACTTCTTGGGACCCCTATTTTGCCTTCCAGCTATTGATGCCATGATTCCAGAACGCAACAGCATTTAAGAGGACCATAACCTGAAACAGGCCAGGTGAGTTTAAAAAATAATGGAGTATTCTCACCCCGCTCCCCAATCCAACAGTAGCAGATGAGGAGGAAGTTTGGTGGACTCTGTTTCCTGCTGTTACTAACCAGTAAAGTAGTACTTAGATTATATATAATTTGCTCCACAGGTCCCCCACAACTCCCCAATATTTGCAGCAATTCTCTTAGTAAGTAGAGGATGAAGCTGACCCAAATTGGGCCTGTCATCCTGGTTGGGCCTGGCTTCCATTTCAGATAAGAATTAGTCCTGCGATTAGCCTTTTCAGGACCAGGCACGCCCTTCTCTAGCCCTTTCTGCCGCCAGCCTCATCCTCAGACTGATTTTCCTCATTTCAGATTTTTCTACAGTTTCATTCCTCAGTCATGCCTGCTGACAATTTTCACACTGTTCATGTTAAGCCTCGAGATGACCTGGGTGATGGCATTTGTGCTCAGAAAGAAATGTAATTAGTCCATCGGCCAGAACCCGTACCCTAAAGCGGCCAGCAGCGTCCCGTCCTGGGCCGCGCTCTGAGCGACAGGTCTCGCGGCGAGGAGCCCGGCCGTGGCGGGGACAACCAGGCGCGCGCCGCTCCCGGCCGCTCCCTCCCGGTGTCTCCGCTGCTCCGCCCACCGGTCCCTCGCGGTACCTGGCGGGCGGGGGCGGCGCTGCACGGCGTCACGCAGTGGAGTGAGAGAGTGGGCAGGTGCCACTTCGCAGGCCTCCTTCCCTTTTTCAGCTTAGTCGGTAGCCGGCGCTTTAGGGGCCGCTGTGAGGAGCTCGCGCCATCACCTTCTACTCTCGCGCGCGCCGGGCGCTTGGGCTCCGGTCCCCGCCGGGTGAGTGCGGGGCTCTGGGCCCGTGGGCTGGGGCCAAACTTTTGCAGGAGCGGAGAAGAGATGGGGGAAGAGAGAGAGAGTACCCGAGGGAAGGGGGTCGGGAGCAGCCGGATGGAGGAACTTGAGCGCTGCGCGCGGAGAGTGGGATACGGGTGCCGGAGACTCGGGGAGCCTGGCAGGGCCATCTCTGGGCTCTGCTAGGGGAGGGGGCTTCGGAAGTTCCCGCACCATGGCCTGCAGCGAAGAAGGCCCTTCCCGCTGGAGGGTGAGGCCCCCGTGTTCACCTGCGCGTTCCCTGGGAGCCCCCCGCCTCCCTCAGCGTCCCAGAGGGACTGTGGTCCCCCGCTGTCCCGGGGCTTTGCGCCTCCCACAAGCGTTCCCACGCGGCGTGGGTCCTGCTTTTCCGGGCGGGAGGGCAAAGGTGCTCGCTGATGGGACCGGGAGAGAGAAGGACCTGCACGACCTTGACCACCGAGGTCACTTTCCCAGCTCCGGAATCTGGTCTCCCTAGCTACCCTCCAGAATCTCGAGTCCCTTTTCTTTCTGCTTCCTTTCCCGATGGGGCGCTTTCGTGTCCTTGACATCGAAACGAACCTGGGGCGCTGCTCTTGGAGCAGGGCGCCGCCTCTAGCTCCCGGAGCTGCATCCTGTCCAGCAGCTGCTGATGGCCTAGGAGAGGAGTGACGAGAACAGAGCCGTGGAACAGGTCGTGCCGGAGAGGGAAATGGGAAAGCTTTTTGTTTCATCTTTCGAGATAGCTTTCGTTAGGAAATGGGCCTCTCCCCGTAAACAGTCAGTGCTGATTCAAACTTGCCGGATGCGGAGACAGCGCTGTTTCGAGCTCCCTGGAGCTACTTGGCCCTGGACGGGTCAGGTCTCTACCCCGTCCAGCTCCCTGTGTGGATGGGGATACCAGTCCCACTTACTGAAGAATAGTTTTGGCCAGCCAAGTCTTTTCCTTCTTGCTGCGGAATCCCCTTGGAAAGCAATTTCACTTAACCCTATACTTGCAGGTTACTCTAACTCCTGTGAAAGTCATCGATACTTTGCGGCTGTCTCCGTCTTCTTAATGCTCACTTGCTTATTAATCCCCTTACTTTGTAGTTTCTGCTCCTACGACTGGCCAGAAATTGTTTTCCCCAAGGTCACTTGAGGACTAAAAAAATCTTTTCCCTCCAGTGGCAGATATTCATCGAGTGCTTTAAGTGCAGGACACTGTTCTAAGAACTTGTATTAACTCTTAGTCCTCTGAACAATTCTGTAAGGTAAATGATAATATCCATCACTTTACAGATGGAGAAACTGAGACAGTAGCTTGCCCAAGGGCACAGGACTAGCAGGAGGGGATTCCAACTGCGAACCTGTGGTCCAGCACTGGGGCTGTTAACCCCTGCGCACTGCCCACCAAGAGACCCCGTCTTGGTCCTTGTTTTCCTGAAGTACTAGTCTGTGTCAAGCATCAGTCATCAGACTCCCTTTCTAAGGTCCCTTTTTTTTTCTTCTAGTGTCGCTTTGTACTAGTTTGGATTCTTCTTTTCAAGATTTCATAGAACTTTGTTTCTTCTGTTACCACTTCCACTCACCTGGCTTAAGATTCTGTGCTTTTGGTGTGTCTTACTCAGTTTATGTGTAGCATCTCTCACTCGGAGCATATATCATATTACGTTTGGATTTGCCCTGCTTTGCCCAAAGCGTTTCTAGTTGACATAATTTCTGTCAAGGGCCCCCTCCATTTCCCTAGTAACCTAGGTGCCAAAATCCGTGGTCTTATCTCCAATCACCCACCACTCAGGAAAGAAATCCGTTCAACTCTTCTCTTGTTTCTTCCTTCTAGCCTTTGCCAGTCTCCCTCTTTCCCATCCCTGAACACTCATTTATCCACCTAACATGCCATTTTCTACTGTTGGTTGTCTCCTTTTGTAAATGTTTGATGTCCACGAAAAGATTATAAACATCTTCATTCAGGCCTTAACAACTAGTAGTTACTTGATCAATGCTTGCAGAACATGATCAATATGCATTAAGATTGCATAGATCAGGTGGGTTTGCTGGCAGTAGAAAACTTAGGAATTTTTAAGCCAGGGTTTACAGGACATTAAGGAGTTTGCATTGGTAGACATGGGGAGGCTGGCAGACATTGCAGAAGAAGAGGGCAGCCTCTGCCAACTCCATCGCTGCGACGGGAACCCAGCTCCTCCTGGCTGAACATTACACTCAGAAGTGTAATGAAATAGGACCGTATTGGCAGGAAAGCATGAATCCTAATCTTAGCAAAGTAGAATATGAAATCACAGTAATTCACTGAAAAATAACCCCACTTTTATTGAAAAATATAACACATACATGAAAGTGCATACAACATAAACGAAGAGATTGCCACATCAGATAGTTTTGGCTGTAGAATGACTGCCTTATTCTGGCAGTAGATGGGATTGTGGGATAAGACTGCAGACAGACCAAATAGGTGATGTGAGTCTGGGTTAATCCCGAGAGGCATGGTTGAGAACGAATTGGCTTTGCTTGGGGAGGTTTGAGGAAAGAAAAAAAACTGGAAGGACATACCAAAATGGTGAAATTGGGGAGTCAAGAAGAGAGTTCTAATCCACCGAACATACTTCTACCACAATGAATATTTTTTCAATTTTACTGTTGTCTCTCTCCTGTTTTTTAATGCATGTTTTCCTACATCACTCCATATAGAATTTTAGTATTTTGTGTTTTCCATATAACAAATAGTAAGCATTTTCATTTTATGTAATCTCCAAAAGTCCTGTTGTTTGCATTATATTACAGTATTTACAGTGTGATTTACTTAACTAGTTTTCTGTTTGTGGACAGGTACATTAGCAGCCAATTTTAAACAACCTTAGTTACAGAAATACTTATCTTTGCAGATAGATCATTGAACGAATTGTGGTTTGTTTCTGTATGATAGCTTTCCAGAAGTGGAATTACTTTGTCAACAAGTATGGTCATTTTTGTGGTTCTTACTACACCTTGACAGATTTCTCAAAGAGAATTTAAAAACAGAATGTATGTGTTGCGCCTGCTTTTTTCTCTCTGAAGCAACAGCAGTTCAATTCATTGCGAACAGTTTTGCATATTTGGTGCTGCGTCGGTTTCCTGGGGCTGCTGTAACAAAGCACCACAAACCTGGCAGTGTAAAACAACAGCAATTTATTGTCTCAAAACTCTGGAAGAGAGAAGCCTGAACTCACAGTGTTGACTGTGTTGATTACTTCTGAGGGCTCTGAAAGAGAGTCTGTTGCACGCCTTTCTCCTAGCTTCTTGGTGACAATGGCAATTGTTGCCTTGTAGATGTGTTACTTCAGTATCTGACTCAGTCTTCACATAGCATTCTCCCTCTGTGTCTGGCTTCACATGGCTGTTTTCTTATAAGGACACCAATCATATTGGATTAAGGCATGACTTCATCTTAACTAATTACATCTGCAAAGAACCAATTTCCAAATTATGCCACAATCTGAGGTACTTGGGGCTGGGATGTGAATATATCTTTCTGGGGGTGACAAATTCAACTCATACTAGGGACTGGGGTAGACATTGGGATGTATATAAAAGGAAGCTCTCTTGTTCATTTTTACTGAACTTTTTGGGGTGTCATTGGTTAATAAAAGTATATAGGTTTTGGATGTACAATTTTATAGTTGTTCACCACCCAGTATTGTATTGTGTGTTCACCATCCCAAGTCAAGTCTCCTTCCATCACCATTTACTCTCCCTTTATCCTCTTCTACCTTCTTCCTCCCTCTTTCCATCTGATAATCACTATACTGTGGTTGGTGCCTACGAGCTTTTTGTTTTTTATTGTTTTTTCCCTAATCCCTTCACCTTTTTTCATCTAGCCCTTTAATGCCTCCTCCCCACTGACATGTGTCAGTCTGTTTTCCGTATCTATGAGTCTCTTTCTTTTTTGTTTATTTTGTTCATTAGATTTCACATATAAGCGAAATCATATGGTACTTGTCATTCTCTGACTGGCTTATTTCATTAGCATAATACTCCCTAGGTCCATCCTTGCTGTCCCAATGGGTAAGATTTCATTTAAAACATTTTTTTAATTGATTTGAGAGAGGAGGGCGGGGAGAGAGAAAGAGAGGGAGGGAGGGAGAGATATGGAGATCCTTTTTTATGGCTGAATAGTATTCCATTGTATAAATGTACCACGGCTTTTTCAATCCACTTATCTACTGATGGGTACTTGGGCTACTTCCAAAACTTGGCTGTTGTAAATAATGCTACAGTGAACATGGGATGCATATATGCTTTTGAATTAGTGTTTCAAGTTTCTTTAGGTATATCCCAAGAAATAAAATCACTAGGTCATAAAGCAGTTCCATTTTTAATTTTTTGAGATAACTCCATACAGCTTTCTACAGTGGCTGCCCCAATCTGCTTTCTCATCAACAATGCATAAGGGTTCCCTTTTCTCCACGTCCTTGCCAACAATTGTTGTTTGTTGACTTACTGATGATAACTGTTCTGACAAGTGTTGAGGTGATAGCTCATGTGTTTAATTTGAATTTCTTTGATGATTAGTGACATTGAGCATCTTTTCATATGCCTATTGGCTATCTGTATGTCTTCTTTGGAGAAGTGTCTATTCAGGTCATTTGTTCATTTTTTAATTGGGTTGTTTGTTTTTGTGGTATTGAGTTTTAAAAGTTCTTTGTAAATTTTGGAAATTAACTCTCACACCTTATCAGATATGTCACTGGGGAATATGTTCTCCCATTCAGTGGGTTGTCTTTTCATTTTGTTGATGGTTTCCTTTGCTGTGCAAAAATTTTTTAGTTTGGTGTTATCCCATTTGTTTAACTTTTTGCCTTGTTTCCCTTGCCAAGATGATATGTGTATATTAGAAAAAATATTGCTATGAGAAATGTCTGACATTTTACTACCTATGTTTTCTTCTAGGATTTTTATGGTTTTGAGTCTTACATTTAAATCTTTAATTCATTTCAAGTTTATTCTTGTGG